GACCCCGGCCCGCCTCTGTCCCCCAGCCCCCCGCCCGACGCTCGGCACAGAACTCGGAGAGCTCGGCGCAGCCCCCGCGGTGCGGAGAATTTTGCAGCCGGGGACCCGGATTGTCTCCCCGCGGGTCACATAGGTTCCACCCCGCACCCCCCACCCTGTCCCCAGTCCCCAGAAGCCCCAGTCGGGCTGGCCGTGGGCAGGTGACAGATGGGGCAATCGGATACGTCCGGTTCGGCGACTTACCCCAATCCAGTGAGCCGCCGCCTCTTAGCCCTGGGAACAGGAGAGGACGTGGCTGGAACCGAATGTAGAGCAGCGGGGAGGCAGGGTGGACAGTGGAATTTGAAGGAAGAAAACGAGTTTTGAGTGGCGTTCTCCGCCGGAAGAATTGGGGTGATTTTTTTTTCTTTATATTTTTTCTAATTTTTTACAGACTATGAAGATGTATGTTTTAATATAAATATTTTTACGTTTTCTACACTATTAATATTATTTGGTAAGCATAATCTTGGATAATTTTATAACCTAAGGAGGGTTCTGTAGACGTTTCCAGGACTAGCTTTGCCACCCTTGGGTCCATTGGATCTTGCGACTTGCTTCTTGACCTGTAAATTAGGAAGAGGATGCTCAGGTCTGGCTGGTTGCAGACCTGGCGCTGTGCTCAGGCCTCGCTGGCGCTGAGTGTGGCAATAACCCTCGACAGGGCTGTAGGGAGGATCAAGGAATCTGCCTGTGGATTCAGCTGGCACCACCCCAATGCCCAGGAGAGAATCATCCACACACCTGCTAGCAGGGAAATGGGCAGTGATCCGCCCTGGCAGTGAGAGCAGAGAGGGGAGATCAGTAGCCAAGAAGGAGAAGGGTTAAGGGCCCTAGCGTTCCAGGACCACCAGCGTGGCCTGTGCCCTCTTCCAAAAAGGTCAGTGAGGTGAGTTCAGAATGTGGCAGTCAGGCTTCCAGGCCCAAGGTCACCCGTACACTTGCCACTTCTCAGCAATGTAAGAAAGGCCTTGCCAACTGCAACCAGGACAGCAACCATTTACAGGACACTAGGCGCCAGCTGGTGGGGAGAGCTAAGCAATCTGCCCATTCGCTGTACCTCCAGTAACCTTTTATCTGCTCCGGACAGCCAGGTGAGGCATGTGCCCCATGGCATAGATGAGCAGTCTGGACTGGCCCAAGGTCAGCATGGCCTGTGAGGGTCAGAGCCCAGACTTGGGTCCATCTGTGGTCTGGAAAGTGATTTACACAGATGTCACTGATTCAGGAAAGGAAGCATGTAGGACACCCTGGGTATTAGTTTTCTCTTGCCGCCACAACAAATTACTGCAAATTTAGCGGCTTGACACAAATTTCTCTTAAAGTTTAGTAGGATAGAGTCTGACGTGGGTCTCACAAGGTGTCAGCAGGGCTGTGTTCCTTCTGGAGCTCTTCCTTTTCTTTCCCAGCTTCCGGAGACCACCCATATCACATTCTTTGGCTTGTAGCCCACCTCCTCCAGCTTCAAAGCGGGGGACGGTGCCTTTGATCATTCTACCGTAGTGGCCTTGCCCTCTGCCTCTCTTCTGCCTCCCTCTTTCATTTTCAAGGACCGTTGTGATTACATGGGGCCCACCAAGATAATCCATGACATCTCCCTATTGAAAATCTGCCTAGTTCCATCTGCAACCTTAATTCTTCTTTACCATATAGTGTAACATATGCACAGGCTCCAGGGATTAGGATGTGGACATCTTACAGGGCCATTATTCTGCCTGCTACGCCCTTCCCGGCAAGGTCTGGGGAGGAAGACACAGGAAGAGATAGAGGACCCATCCATAGAGTCTCAGAGCCTAGTTGGAAGGCTGCTTTCTGCCCTGAGCCTGAAATCCACATCCTGCACAGCCAGGCCATTCAAGGGCCCAGACACCCCTGGGCAGCTGTCTCAGTCCCTTTCTTTTTGCTGGGACTCAGCTCTCTTCTCATATGGCAGCCACGATAGAGTAGTGAGCTCCCAGCTTACAGCCCTCCACCGTGTGGTCTAAGAGAAGCCTGGGCCACACAGGATTCTCACTGGGCCAGGCAGGACTTCCTCATACTGGACCTGGTGGAAAAGGTTAAATTTTGCTGGGTACTAAAGGCGGGGCAGGGGGAGGGTGCATTCTAGGCCTGGAGACCCACAGAAGCAAAGCCTTGGAAGTGTGTGGAA